TTACCATAAATAAATAAGTAAATTAATTAATTAATTAAATATGATAGGAAACATACAGGGAAAAAAGCCACCCTTAAAATAGATTCAGACAATAGTAGCCTTGAGGTACCGTTACATAACTCCTAAATTCACAAACAATTTTCATTTCAAGATGAGGAGACCCCAAATTGAGAAGTTTATGGGGAAGCTGACACACTCTGACTCTGACACCGTCACTTGCAAACTGGCACTGTTTGCCCTCATTACACAGTTGCACCCACATTCATATTCAGAGCCAAAGGAGGCTCCAGATACCTTGCCTCATGTGCTAGCTTTCTAGGCTGCCTTAGCACCGTGCACACACCTGGTGGCCTAGACACCAAAATTCACTCTCCCACAACTCTGGAGGATTCACTTCTCCTGGGCCACTCCCTTATGGCCTACAGATGCTGTCTTTTCACTGTGTCCTCATGCGGTCAGCCCTCTATGGGTCTGTACCCTAACCTTTTCTTCCTGGGTGGACACTTGGTGCAGTGGATTAGAGCCCATTGAATGATGGCATTTTAACTTAGTTACCTCTTTAAGCTGCTGTCTTCAAATATAGCCACATCTGAAGTACTAGGGGTTTGGGCTGCAGCTCATGAATTGTGTTACTAGTTCAGCTCATAGCATGTTCGTAATCCTTCTCCTGGTAATACATCAAATAAAGCAGAAAGTGTGTGCATAAAACATTCATTATAGTCTTTCAGTAATATAAAATAGTAAAAAAGCTGAAATATTTCTGGAAGTTAAATAATTTGAAACAGCCATTCAATAGACTATTTTGTAGCTATTGAAATTTTTAAGAATGAAAATGCTAAAACATTTTAGAAATTCTTGGCCTGTAATAGGAAAAATGAAATGCAAATATCATGATTGATTATGAAAAATATCTATACCCAGAGACACTAAAAGAGGGTAAAGTAATTCTCTTGTGATCTTACAGACAGGGATGGCGTTTTTCTTTTTTCAAACTATTTTAACTATTTTTGCCCTTTTATTTTAAAAGGAAAAGTAAGTGGGTTATAATGAGTAACGACTACTAAGACCGACCCCATTTCTCTGGTACATAGTGTGAGCTTTTAGTCCAAAAGAAGAAAAGCGGAGACAACTGGAGGTTAACAGATTACACTGCACCCCAGCAAGGTAGAAATAGCGGCACAGTGCCTGAGAATGCTTTGGGACACAGAGCACTCTGCTGTGCCTGCGGTCAGGACTCGGTGTGACCTGAGTGTCTCGGCACAGCCAGTGCCATGTGTGGGCAGAAGCATCTTGGCTCTCCTGTGATCTTGGCCTCTCTGTTCCTTCTCTGACCCTCAGACCTGTTTCCTTTAAAATACAGTTGTTGAACTGGCTAATATTACCAAGACCATCACTTTCTTTAGTCTTTCATTCTCTGTTTGGTCCCAATTGTGCACAGACTAATTGTCTAGGCAGCATTTTTCTTGCAAAGAGCCAGAACCCTGCAGAAAGTCTGAGAAACCCTGCCCTCTCTCTCTGGGATGCTGAGCACACCTCGCTAGCCCTGGCCCTGAAGGATGTCGCTGCACTGCAGAAAGCAAGGAGGGAGTGAGAACAGCAGCAGCCATGCGCTTGGACAGAACCGTCTCCCTCCAGCGGGAAGAATCCATCATTTCCTTTCTTGGAGGCTGTCAGACCCCAGAGAGAGATTAGTGAGAAAAGGGAAAGAATAATAAAGGTTTCCCAGTCTTGAGAACTCACCTGGGGCAGCAAAGAAGTACTATGTGCAGTGTTTGGATTCTGAGCCTCTTATCCGTGTGTTCTCTCACTGGCCTGTGGCCTGCTGGTGTGCACTCTGTTCTCTGCTGAAGGCTTGGGTGCAACGAGGCTTCATTTCTGTGGGCAAACTAAAATAGCAACACAGACACTAACTCAGATGCCTCACACGTGCATGTTTGGGTGTGTGGGTGTGGGTGTGCATCTGTGAGTGCAGGAGGAGGCGGCAGTACCGAGGGAAAGAACACACACTTCGCTGTTCTCCATTCACTCTTGTATTTGCCCCTCGAAGCCTGTTGTTCCTAGCCTGTGGTAAGACGATCCCATTTCTCTGGTACATAGTGTGAGCTTTTTTGGAATCTTTAGTTTTGATCAAAAAGAAGAAAAATGGAGACAACTGGACTCTGACACGGTCACTTGCAAACTGGCACTGTTTGCCCTCATTACACAGTTGCACCCACATTCATATTCAGAGCCAAAGGAGGCTTCAGATCCCTTACCTCATGTGCTAGCTTTGTAGGCTGCCTTAGCACCGTGCACACACCTGGTGGCTAGACACCCCATTCTGGTCGTGGAGGATTTGGGTGAGCTGAGGCGGCCAGGACTCTGCTCTTGAGGAGACCACGTTCTGGGGGAGCAAACCCTGAGCAAGTCAAGTAGTGAGAGGCGAGGCTCCTGACATAGCCACATGGCATTCCATGGGTGACTTTGATCTCATCGAGAAACTGTCTGAAAGCTTGGCCAGGATGTGCCCTGCAAAGCCCTGGAAAATGGGAGGTGAGCAGCAGACACTTAAGGAGGGCAGGGCTGTGTGGGATGGCCATTCTTGTGTTCCTGGAACAAAGCACGCAGAACTCCTGGGCGGTGCCAATGGGGAGTACTGAAAGCTCTGTGCCTCTTTAATCGGGAAAGCTGGAATTTTGGATCAGTTGCTATTTTTCCCACCTAGTTTTTAAAACAAAACAAAATTGAGTTCAGCAAAGTGTCTTCCTGGGACCGAAGTAGGTGAGTTGCGTATGCCTGTGTCCATAGAAAGAAGACTCTGAGGGAGGCTGGGAGCCACCTCAGTTCAGGGCAGGTCTAGCTCTGTTCCTATTCTCTGCAGTGACACAGCCATCATCGCGTACTTGTGCCATTTACCAAAACGTGACAAAGTTTAATAATGTAGGTTCGTTCAGCCATGTAACAAATGGTGACTAAACTGGATGCTGAAATAGAGAAATGATAAGTTTCGTTTCCTTCAGATTCTCTTAGTCTGACAGAGGACAGAGAGATAAAATCACTACAGTACTGCCTGAAGAGACATCCATTGGGCTCGTTACACATGCGTACTCTTGAGACTGATGGAAGGTGGTATCAGTTTGGCCAGGAGGATTAACAATGTCACCAAGAAGATGGCATTGAAAGCCGATGTTTCTGTTGGGTTTTGAATGATTCCTGGATTGTAGGAATTATACTATCTGCAAGTCAGAAGTAACTTTGGAAAAAAAATTATTTGAGAGAGAAATCTCCCATCCATTGACTGAATCCACTGCCCCAGGGCTGGGACAGGCTAAAACCAAGATCCAGGGCTTCAATTCAGGTTCCCCACATGGATCTGACTACTTGAGCTGTCACCTCCTGCCTCCCGGAGACACATTAGTGGGAAGCTGAAGTTGGGAACAGACCCAGTTCTTGAACCAGACATTCTGATGGGATGCGGGCATCTCAACAACATCTTAACTGCTATCCCTGCCCCATGAGTAGTAACTTTTATTCTCAGTACTTCTGCTTAAATTATTTTTTTAAACATTTATTTTATTTGCAGTGCAGAGCTACAAAGAGAAAAGGAGATAGAGGGAGATATCTTGCATCTATTAGTTTACTTCCCAAATGGCTGCATTGGCTGGGGGTGGGCCAGACCAAAACCAGGATCCTAGAACTCCATTCAGGTATCCCATGTGGGTGGCAGGAGCTCAACTACTTGGGCCATCCTCTGCTGCTTTCTCAGGTGCATTAGCAGGGAGTAGGATCAAAAGTGGAGCAGCCAGTACTTGAACCGACACTCATGTGGGATGCTGGCATTGCAAGTAGCATTCCAACCAGCTGTGCTACAACACCAGGCCCTTCTGTTTAAATTCTTGCAGCCAACAAACACAATTGGCCTTCTCATCTTTGCCAGAGAACAGGCGGGAAGAGAGCATCATGTACAATTGTAAGGTATCACTGGTCTAAACATTAATTAGCTTTGAAATGCCACATTATTTCTAAGGTTCCTACAATCAAATTATTAAAAATGCATAGTGACATTAGGAAGAGCCTGTCATGAAGCAGTTTTGTCACAACTCAATGTAGATGAGAAGCTCTGAATTTTGGTATGAGTATTAACTTGATTTCTTACAAAAACATGGACAATTTTATAAAATAAAAAATCTAAATAAGATATCCAAACCATGGAAAAGCACACATAGACATGAAGATAAGACCAGGGAGAAGGAAAGAATAGAGGATATGCAAGCTAAAGGAGCCTATAAAGGCTTTTTAAAGTCGTGCAGTTGGTGCTGAGCCTCAGAGAGAGTGGGACAAGACCAGCGCAAGCCCACTGTTGCTACTCCTATTATGTAACTGAGTTGCAGGACACATTCTTTTCTCAGTGGATTAGAATAAAGGTTGTCTTATTTTGGAAAGAATTTTGTTTCATGTGGATCTACATTCAAGAGAGATTTGGGGTTAAAGAATATAGACCACAGTGAAATGACAAATGACGTGGCAATGTGGTGGTTACGAGTACTGGCTTTTCAGTCAAGACTGACCCAAACTCAGATTCTGGCCCAACAATTTACGACTTCAGTGTTCAACCAGATTCTCACACCTTGGCTTCCTTACAGTAGAACTGAGAGGTAAAGGAGCCGGTTTCACAGGCTTGAGTTGGGAAGGCATGAGTCATACCTGTACAGTGTTTAGCACCACCGTGTCTGGAGCTGAGTATCTGGTAGCTGTAGCGGTGATCCAAATAGGCTTCTTGGTACATGGCTTGTCACCTAATGTCCAGAGGAAACCTTGTCTGTCCTGCATGTCTGTGACCCCAGAGATGCTCACACCTTACATCCACTTTTTGGAGCAGATGCTTTTAAACCTGGACAGAAGTGTGTTTGATGATGGAGAGGAAAAGGCAACACATCGCAGCCCAGTAGACAGTGATGAGTCTGGGGGAGAGGAGGTTAAGCAGATGCCCTCTGATGTTTTGCCTGTCTTATTCCTTAAAGGTGAATGATTCAAACTGTGACCAAGAACTACTTTCCCTGCTCCTGGATGCCAAACTGATGGTGAAGTGCATCTCCACTCCCTTCTATCCGCACATCATTGACCACCTCTTGGCCAGCCTGCAGCAAGGGCGCTGGGACGCAGAGGAGCTGGCCAGACACCTGCAGGAGGCCGGCCATCAAGCCGAAGCCGGGTCACTGCTTCTGGCCGTGAGGGGGACTCACCCAGCCTTGAGAACTTTCAGCGTGGCCCTCAGTGCCGGACAGCACTGGGTGTGAGCCGCGCATGCTCCTGGGAGGAAAAGCGCGTCTGGAGCTGAACGCTGCTCCCAGAAGCAACGTGTCTACCTGCTGACTGTTCTCGGTGGTTCCAGCAAACTGCAATAAAGCTGTACGTAAATGATGAGCAGACTCATTTTTTCAACTTTGGATTTCTCATATACTGACAGGTTAACATGCTTCCTTATTGACTGGCTCTTTTGTTCCTGTGTTGCTTTTCTTTTAAAATGCCCTTTCTGGATAGAATTCAATTAATAAACTGTCAAATACTGCAGTTTAGAAGATTGGGTGGTGGTGGGTAGGACTGGGTGAGAAAGGGAGAATGTGTGATGGCTGGTGGTTGTGCAGGTGCCCTTAGGTGGAGGAAGGACAGACTTGGATTCGAGTCTCAAGTTACCTCTGTGATCTTGGGCAAATTATCCCACCCCCCTCTGAACCTTAGACTATGGTGTATAAAAGTAAGGGTGTATTATTCATCTCACAAAGTGGTTGAATGTTTTGTCAGGTTGTATGTGTGAGGTTCTGTTAGATTCACAACAGGGACCCAAAAAATCTGAATTCTCTTCCTCCTTGCTAGTGTCCCAGTGTGTGAATTTTGGTAAGGCCACAAGTGATCAGTACCAACAGGTGAAACCTAGTGGAGATGGAGGCCTTCACAGTGGACCAGCAGCAGCTTGATGAGGCTGATACATTTGCCTGTCTGGATGGCTGTCTAGGCAGGTGAGTGGATAACAGAGCTAGCCTGTACGCTTGTCACAGACAGGAGTGACATATTGGGGTTCACTAATTTGCATAAAGCTACTCATAGCAAGAGTGTGAATATCAGTGCCCATAGGAGAACCAGTGTTGGCAGGAACGTTCCTCTCTGGAAGGATCAGGACCCTGATGCCTCATTGCTGCTCTGGCTTACAGGGCAGAAGGGCGTGTGCTTAAAGGTGGAGGCTCTGGCTGGGTGCGCTAGACTTAGCTCTCTTGAGTCTCACAGCAAATCCAAGCCCTAGAGACGTCCAGGCAGAGATAGGGTGATGGGGGTGTGGTGTAAGAGCACCCATGCCTGCAGGTGACTAGGGGGCCACCAGAGGCACCCAGGTACAGTAATTACCTGTACCCCAGAGAAGTAATTTGGAGGAAGGGAGAGTGTTGTGTAGTAACATCAAAGTTGAGTCTAGGTAGATAGATGACAGCATATAAAAAATACTTTTTAATAGGTTTAAGTGAATTGATAACTGACCCTGTGGTTAGTTTCCTTATTGCTGTGTCAAAGCCAGCAGGCTGAGTGTAACAAGGCTTCCTGTGGGTCTTAGACAAATAGCACTTGGATGCAGCCCAGTCTTCATATCCCTCCACTCCCGCCAATACAGTGCAGACAGCTGCTTGGGTCCACTCTCCATGTCACCTCCTCTGCCGGTCTGTGATGATCACCAGCCTTACTTTGCTTGTCCTGTTCTAGATGTAACTACAGAGTCTTCAGACAAGAGTGTTGTGGTCATCTTTGTAGGAGACTTACTGCATCATAGCTTTGTAGCCTGAATCTCAACCACTGGTCTACTCCAGGAGTAAGTACGTTGCTCAGCTTCAGCACCTAGAATTCGGAAATGGCTTGCCCAAGCCTCTGACATACTTAAGAGGAAAGAGGGCAGCATGTTCTCCCAAATTAGGTTTGTCTGTTCAGACAGACTCACACACTAAATGCCTTAGGTGTTCATGGCGCACCTGTAGTCACTGGTATTGATCAGCCCTCCTCGGATGCACCCCCACCAGTAACTTGGGTTTTCCCTAACCTTACAGCTGTGAATGAAACATAAGGTAAGTGTGATTCCATGGTCACAGAATCCATTTTGATGGGATCCTTCCAGAGATGTTTTTTTTTTTTTTAAGATTTTTTAAGATTTATTTATTTATTTGAAAGAGTTAAAGAGAGAAGGAGAGGCAGAGAGAGAAGTCTTCCGTCTGCTGGTTCACTCCCCAATCGGCCGCAACAGCCAGAGCTGTGCCGATCTGAAGCCGGGAGCCAATACCCTCGTCCAGGTCTTCCCATGCAGGTGCAGGGGCCCAAGAACTTGAGCCATCCTCTACTGCTTTCCTAGGCCATAACAGAGAACTGGATCGGAAATGGAGCAACTGGACCTCAAACCAGTGCCCATATGGGATGTCGGCACTGCAGGTTGTGGCTTTACCTGCTACGCCGCAGCGCCAGCCCCCAGAGATGTCTTCTTAATTGTAGCATCAGAGGCCTTAAACTCAGTTGGTGAAACCCCAGGCTTTATAGATGAACAATCTGAGACCCAGAGAGTGGAGTGACTTGCTCAAGGGCAGCAGTCAGTTGTTGGTCTCCACGTTACCCATGCAGCTCACTCCACCAAGATTATGAAGAAGGGACTCTAATATAAACTGCATTGCTTTGACTTGTATCCTTGCTGTCAGAAACCAAATTTCCTGGTTTCGGCAGTTTGTTTTTTGCAGACAAAGTAAGGAGCAAAAAGCCCAAGAATTCACTCACTCAAGATTCATATCAATGCCATAAATACTCTAGAACACAGAGTTGATCTTTGTTGTTGGCATTTAGAACATTAACCATAAATGTTAAATGAAGAAGATAGCATGTTTTCTTTCTTATAAAACTTTCCTGTCAGTTACTACAAAGCTTTCTCTTTGAAAAAACAAAGCAGAACAAAAAAGGGCTGCACTAACCCTCCCTCACGCTCAGATTCTCCGGCCTTCCTTCCTGGGAAGCCGACCCAGGGTAAGCTGGTGTAGGGAGTGAGCCTTTGGTATTAGGTGACCAGGTGAGAACGCCGTGAGATTTTCAGAGAGGACACTTCATTGCCTGCGCCTGTTTTCCCATCCGTTAATAATTCCTTACTGGGTCACTGATGCATCCGTACTTCTCTCAAGGTCACACAGCTAGTAAGTAACGGAACTGTGATGCACACTCAGGCGATCCGGCTCAGAACTCCCCCAGGGCAGCAGCGTCAGGTTAACCCGAGTCAGTGTGGAGAATAGATCCCTCTGCTGCGGACCTGCACAGCTCTCCCAGAGGGTGTTTGAACGACACTCTGTTTTCCATCCCTCCCTTCTGTCACAAACGATGCCCTCATGGCATCTTTGACGTTGCCCAACTGCCTGCTGACATCCCAGCCTTCGCAAAGGTGGGGAACACTTCATCCTCTCTCCCTTCAGGAGTTGTGATACTGCAACGTCCAAATGTCCCCGTTTGTCAATATCCAGAGGTCTTCAGGCTGCCCCTAGTACCCCAGCTTTCCCCAGAGATGCACATAAATTTGACCCCCATTACAATTTTTTTCTTTTTGTGGACAGTCACTATTATGTCATCAGCTTACTCAAATAAGGAGGGGCCAAATATTCTAAAGTGAATAAGTAACTTTCAGTCCACTTCGAAGGTCATGTGGACAGTGGTCCTCCACCACAGCTGCTTGTTAGAGTCACCTGAGACTCTAACACATACAGATGCCTGAGCACCGCACCCTCCCAACACTGATGGATTAAATCAACATACAGGCTTGGAGGTCTGAGTGACGCTGGGCTGAATCTGTGTCATTGGCTTCTCGTTTCTTGTTGGCCACACTCCCTTTCTCTCTGGGAAGTTTGCTGGGAAAGGGGAAGGCTCTGGAAGTGATCTGTTAACCCTAGGGCTCTTTGCCTCATGTGGCCCTCGTGTGCAGGAGCTGGCTTGGAAAACAGTTTAAAAAGAACTGAAAGTCCCATCGCTTATTTGACCTGCAGCTAAATTTAGATCTGGGGTTGAGGTGGTTTCCTGGACTCCGCTCGCTCAGTTCCCTGGGTCTGAATAGCCGCAGCCTGCGGTGCAGGACATGTTGGTTCCCCCCTCACTTTGAAAAAGTGGGTTTTATCTTTTTGGAAAGAAAACTCATTATGATAAATGTACCTGGAGAGCATTCAAATGCAAGTTCGCACTATTCTCTGGAGAGAGCTGCATTTTTCTCTGGTTAACTGTAAATGCAGCGGCCCTACACTCTCATTTAGCTCCACCAGCTGGGGATTCAATATCTCTTCTTAATAACTCCAAACTCATTATCAAGTGCAGATGGCTTGTACAAAGAGAAAGTAGGAAAATAGACTAATGGGTGTGCCTGGGCTTGAAAGGAAGAAAAGGAGGCTTCCTGTTTGAGTACCTGTCTCAGGTTTTCTCTCCACCAGTGGCAGATAGAAGGAAGGCTTGGTTTCTTATTGTTCTAGTGAACCCAGAGGTCTTAGAGTTGAGACTGACACTGCACACTTGAGAGCTTTAGAGCTGCAACCTGCTCAGAGTTCTGAGCCAAGAATCACCCACGTCATATTGCTGGTAAAATGAAAAAGCAAGCTCCGGCTTTGCTGCGAGTTAGGCTGCTGGCTGTCGGGGTCCTGGAAGACTGACTGCAGGCACAAGAGGCAGATTTCAGAAACCAGGGCCATGAGCAGTGTTCAGGTGGAGCGGGAAACCGCGGGATCTGTCATGTAGCTGACCTGGGGGGCTCTGATGCTGGGGGTTACCCTGCAGGAGCTATGGAAAGGGAAAAAGCGGAGGAAATCCGTGTTGTCTTGACAGTAGCAGGCCTGTGGTTGGGGGGGCATGGCACAGGAGGCAGGCAGGGGTCGGGGTGGAGAGTCAGCCTGGCCAGCTCATGGCCTTGGGCACCTGCACTCCCGGCTTTCTCTGCCTCTGTTGCCTCCATTGCTGTGCAGCCGTAGGTCAGCAGGGGGTCTCCCTCTGGTGCTGGAGTGATGGGAAGGGGAGTGTCAGGGTTAGAGGAGCTGCGGGAGGAAAGGCAAACTGGGAGAAGGTGGCTGGCAAGAGTTGGCCTTGACTGCCTGTACACGATGTGGGCCAGAGCAGTCTCTAAACCCCAAGGTGACTTCCCGGTCTGCCTTGGGAGCTCTGCTTCTCTCTTTAGGCACTTGAATTGCCAGGGACATCTCCCTACACCTGGCCGGGCTGAGGACAGGAGCTCGGGACACTCGATTCTGTCTTTGTGCAAGGGAGGCTCCACTTGGCTGGCAACTCAGGAGACCTGGACACATGCCCACTGTCTGAGGACAGCTTCTGTGGCTCAACTGCGTGGACCCCTCCTGCCACTTCGAGGTCCCCTGTCCGGTGGCAGAGCT